GACAATTTTTGTTAATTACATTTTATTCAATAGATTTTTAGCAAACAGAACGCAAGACACTGGTTAATATTATCTGTAATTATTTTAATGATATATTGGTACACACATTGGACCAGGGAATTGCCGCCTGTTGCATATTATATATTTTATCAAGAGATGTAATGTATTTATTGAGAGTATCTGTAACAATTACTTGTAAAGATTTAATTTAACTAAATTAATCCTACTTTCGTTTATTGGTTTCTCAGTTATTGGTGAGATGTCATTTTATATTAATTATTGTGTCTAACTAGTTTTATCATCCCTTTAGGCGAATAGGAGTTAGCCAGTCCTAATTCTATTATGGTTGCCTTGCGATCATTTTCGTATCTATGTGTTTAACATACGACATTCTGTTTCGTCTCATATTTATTATTCACATTTTAATATAATCACGTTTAATTTTAAGACATGCATTATAATATTTTAGAGAAATATAAATATAAAAATATAATTTTTTTTAAATGATTCTAAAAAATTAATCACATCACATTTAAGACGAAGTAGAAAGTCGTGTATTCATAAATTGTTTTCTTTAAAATGATATAAAGTATTTTTTTAATATTTTAGGTCAAGGTCCCGTAGCCCGCGCAGGAGATCTCTGACCCGTAGCCGCAGCCGAGACCGCCGTTCTCGTTCGGATTCCCGTGACAGACGGTATTAATATTAGCACAAATTAAAAAGCAAATTAGAAAAATTGAAAAAAAAAAAAAAAACTGAAGTTAACTTCTAAAATATAAAGAAAGTGTACTTCTTTAACATGGAATAAAAAAATACGTTTTATACGATCTTATATAAAGAGATAAAAGAAACAAAGAAAAAAAATAGAATTACTTTAATTATTATATTTAATAAATATAAAATATTTTTGTCTTCAACATCATTGTAAAAAGTCTAATATTAAGTATCAAATAATATTGGAATAATTTATTTTTTTACATTTTCTTACATTAAATATTTTTTTTGCAGTGCAAAATAATGAAATTAAATTAATGATCAAATGAATATTTTCTAAGTATTTTCTCTATTTACTTACAGTTAGGTGCTAAAAGTGTTCGAGAGAATGGACCGACTAAATGTGGCGGAAAGAAGGCAAAAGAAAACTGATTTTATATGTACATAAAAAAAGATAATCGTTACTACACATACATATTTGGTCGAAATAATGATTATAGTAAGAAAAAAAGACATTTATAAGAGATACAAAAATAACATGTACACGATGTTTAATATTTAAATTGTTAATTTTGTGCACACAAAGCGTGTATAAAAGTTAAACACATACACACAAAAGTGCTTGTGAACGACCACACATGCACAATTTCATACATACACATATACACACATAATACATATATTATGTACAGACGCATTTTACACACATACAAAATTTTTGTGATGTAAATCATCGAGTGCAGTGGATCTTTTAACAAGATGTGCTCATTGCTTTAAAGTGTACGAGTGAGACAAAAAATTCCATTGCAATTGAGGACAATTATAACGATCAACATAATGGTGAATGTTTAACTGACGGTAAAATATGTCGACTTGGGCCAGAGACGATTTTGGTGTGAAATTTTTGAAGGAATAGAAAACCGTCGTTTTATGTTGTATTAATTATTTTGTACTCTTATGAATTTAAGACTTCAAAATAAAAATGTATGCTATAATTTTTTTGGATTTCCTATTGCAAATAGCAGTTTAATGTTTATTCATAAGAATTAATAAAGTAGTGAATACAATGTATTAATTGTATTTCTTATCCTATTTTAAATATTTTAGAGAATTATATATTAAAATTATAATCTTAAATATCTTATTCTGAAGTATTTAATTATTATTAATAATAGATATAATTTGTATAATTATATCTATTTAGTATATAATTTCGAAAAATATTTAAATATATTCAAATGTTTAATAATATTAATTTTAAAAAATTAGAATTAAGATAATATAGATAATTGTGTAATAAAATATATTGATTTCGATAAACCTGAATATATATATATATATTATTAAGATCAATATAACTGCTATTAATTTCAGGAAAAATTTCAATTAAATTTATATAGGTTAAGATTATTATGTTCTGGTATATATAATGATGGTAAAATATGAAAAAACAGACACACAATTTGAATCTATACTGTAGAAAAGTTTATGTTGAAAGATATTAAATTTTGTAATATTTAAATATATCAAAATAGTTATTAAAAAATAGAGTTAATGAATTAAAATTATAAATAATAATTATATTGATTCTGATTTTATTGTATTTTTTTCTTCGACTTGAAGTTATGTGAGATAGAATATTATAGTTACTATATTAAATTTTTTGTTTCATATCTTTTTCATAATTAACTATAATATAATAATGCAAATTTGATATTATATATTTTATAAATGATATTATATAATACAAATAAAACTGATTTTCATTTTTTTGTTTCACTATTATAAATAGTACAAGCAAATATCTTATATACAAAATGTATAATGATTTATATGTTCGTAAATATATAATGCAATCATATATAGATTTTTATATTAAATTATTGATTCGTACGTAAGTACTATATATATAATTAAA